CCATCCTTTATCTTCTAGTCTATGTCGACTATATAATTATCACTGGGAATAATGTCGAAGCAGCGCACACTTTCATTCAACAACTTTCTCAGCGCTTCTCTCTCAAGGACCTTGGCCCCCTGACATACTTCCTTGGAGTACTGGAAGTTACCTCCCACCCCAATGGTCTTTTCCTCAGTCAACGCAAATACATTGCCGATCTACTTAATAGAACTCAAATGACTGAAGCCAAGCCTGCTCCTACACCACTAGCAACTAGTCCGATTCTCACTTTACAATCCAGAACCCCACTATCTGACCCGAACGAGTATCGAACAGTTGTTGGCAGCCTCCAGTATCTCTCCCTCACTCGGCCGGATGTTGCCTATACGGTGAACAAACTCTCTCAGTTTATGCATCAACCGACAAGTGACCACTGGAATGCAGTCAAGCGTCTGCTACGGTATCTCTGTGGCACCTTAGATCACGACATCACACTTCGTCGGGCCTCCCCACTAGCACTTCATGCCTTTTCTGACGCTAATTGGGCTGGTAACAAAGATGATTTCACCTCCACTAGTGCATACATAATCTATCTGGGCCACAATCCTATTTCTTGGAGCTCCAAGAAACAACAAACCGTAGCTCGCTCTTCCACTGAGGCTGAATACCGAATGGTGGCCTCTACTACTGCGGAAATTCGTTGGATTTGCTCTCTCCTCACAGAACTCGGTGTCACTCTTCCCCAACAACCAGTTATTTATTGTGATAATGTTGGTGCAACAAATCTCTGTTCCAATCCAGTCTTTTATGAAACATGTGGCTCTTGACTATCCACTTTATCTGAGAACAAGTTCAAAATGGTTTGCTACAAGTGTCACATGTCTCTGCCTCCGATCAACTCGCCGACGCTCGCCAAGATTGGACTTGCTCCACGGCCGTTCATCTTGCGGGGGCATGATAAGGATATACAATCAAGTTGAGAAAGTCAATGGAGGAAATCAAGGGATTTCCACGTTTGAATATCTTTTGTAATTATCTGTAATTATGTCATTTATTTGTATTATTAGATAGTTACTCAATTTGTTTTGTTTCCTATTTCTGTGCTCGTGTAATCTGTATATATGTTAACCACATCAATGAGAATAGTACGCTATAATTTTTCAATTTCTCTCTTTCTAAAATCCTTTAGTTTTGACAGCTGGTATACATATTACGTAGCTACTGAATTGAATCTAGAATGTACCCTGGCTATTAGTCTATAACGTGTCATTTGGGCTCTACTTTTGGACACTTGATTCTCCTTTGCCCATTTGCAAGTGGGCTGTCTCTTTCTATAATATAGCACAGAAGAAGAATGAACTTGAAAACAATAAGTGATGCCAAAATCAGGACAAGGAATTAGAAATTTAACATCAATCAATTTAACTGAACAAAACAGTTCTCACTAAAAAGACCGTGCAATTAATGTGTCTTCCTGTGGCCATTTCAGCCCCATTAACTTTTTGTGTACATATTTTTGCCTCTTCTAATTTTCCAATTCGGTGTCGTCAATTTGCTTGACTACATAGTCCGGACATATATATGTTGTCCATTTCTGCAAAGTTCGATGAACATGCAATTACGTTTTCATGCTTGATTGATGATGAAATGCCACTTTTGCTGGAACTCTTTGATCGTTGAAATCCGCCATCAATTACAAATTTGTCCTCTTCTGACGACTTGACTTCGAATTTCATACTAACGTCTGCTCTGGGATTTAATTTGATAAGCAGATCTACAAAATCCTAATGTCATTCATCTAAATCCTAATGCAACCAACAATCCATGTTTTGTTTGGGATAGGGAGTTTAGCTGTTTGATCGTGCATATATATATTAACAAATCCATAATTGGTTAATACCCAAAAGATAATTTTGTTTGAGTATACTCGGGGAATAATTATTGATAATATGTTATGCCTGGGTGTCTTTGTTATTATTTTAAAAAGTCAGGAGTTGGTTGCGTAATTTGTTTTGATCAACAGGCTGTCTCTGTACAAGGGAGTGTCAGTGTAAAAAGCTTAAAAATTTATTTAGCCGTCATGAATCACTTTTGAACTAAGGAGACATTTGATAAGATGATTCATGTTATGATTTGAATCATAGTTTATAATTTGTTATAGTATTTTTTTTCACAAAAAATATTCATAAATCAAAAATGATTTTAATCCATTAACCAAACGTTTCTAAAGTTTTAGTTGATCCACAATTAGATTTTGACTAGTCTTTAAACTTTAAAAAGAGTGTAACCCATGAAATAATTGTTACAAGTTTTATCTTACGCGTTTTAGATTATATTTCATTAAATTTAGAGGCAAAGTTATATTCATTCCATATATATAATGATTGATTTCATTATCATTGGTCCTTAAACTATAGCAAAAGTCGTGTTTTAATTATCTATGTTCTAACTAGAGTGAGAAGAAGAACACGTGTTACTTTTAATAGGAGTTCAAGGACTTGATTAATTGTCAAAGAAATAAAGATCGGACGATATCATTCTACTTATTTTCCTTCATTATGTTCCCGATTGATACTCATAATAACAAAAGAAGCAACAATATTGTGGAGTTAATGCTAAAAACGTAAAGAAGACGTGTGTTACTCTTTAACAACCAATAAGGTTAATTAACAAATAGACACGAACTTTTCTACTTATCCCGCTTTTGGCACCTAATTTAATTTTCACTTTTACGTATTAAACTATCTCTAATACGATGACATTACATGATTATTGTTGGTGACCTAATCGGCAACTGTTCTCTGACCATCCGGACGTATGAGTCAAATATTGCTCCAAAGTCCTGTAGCTGACTGGTTTTCGAGATACTATTAACTTTCGTTCTCCCTAACAACTCGTAATCATCCCCTGCCCTGCTCGCAATTGATATCCAACTTCAGAGCGTATGTTCAGACTACTTGCGAGTCTATGTGAGCCAAACAAGAGTTAAGAGAGTATTGGACACATAGTTGTTTGTTGGCACACATCCCCACTGTCCACATGGTTTACTATACGACCGGCAAGAATTGATGACACTTAGATCCGCTCTTGACAGGTGTGTACGGCCCCACCGCGGAGCCCTGGGTAATTTTGGGTCTGACCCGACCTAACAACACAATGTAAATATCCCTTGGTCATTTATTGAGGTATGGATAATTTTTCCACCTAACTCTATCATCCACTGACTGTTTAGAGCAGGCCACTGACTTGAGCGTCGGAGGACACTTAGTTGGCACCATACCAGTGCCCCAAGTTTCCTAAGCTCGTTTCTCTCTGTCTCTCTCTCTCCCATGCAAATTAGCCCTATTCTGCCCCCGAGCAAAGCCGCCCCGACGTGCCGACCAACAGCAGCGGAGAAGGTATGTCCGATCACCGTGTGCAGCCGCACGTGGTGTTGTGTCAGGTATGAAATAATGCTGTTAATTTTTTAATGGAAAGTGGGGTGACTAGCATCCGACCGGTAGTTGAAATAATTGTTGTGGGGTTACTGCCCCTCTCATTGGAGGATGAAATAAATTAGATTTGGGCTCAATTGGGCCCGTTCAGTTCGCTAATTTGAGTTTTTAATTTGAGTTGAGATGTGATGTTATGTGAGAGCTTTTTATCGTAGCAAAAAAGTTAGATGTGACTGTTTCTGAGAGTTTTTTACTATAGCAAAACTCGAATTCTAAACTCGAATCAGCAAAAAGAACGAGACCGAGTAAAAAAAAGAAAAAAAACTATTGAAAGGCAAATAAATAGCAACAGAAATATAGGAAAATTCAGGCGGTGGCCGTAAAAATTATAGAGAAAATTACAGCAATAACCATTAAATATTTGAACTACCCATAATTCTAAAGCATCCAAGGTATCAAAATCCAATTTCTTAGAAGTTTCTTCCGTATTTTGGTTTTTGGGGTTTAGCTCCGTCAATCTGCCAATGCCCTGATCATTGAGCAAAAGGTGCATTAGTGGTAGAGTCTAGCTTCTCTTCAAAAATGGGATTCTTTCATCCAGAGAAAGATTTTTTACTGTTAATTGAGCTTTTGCGGAGAAAAATGGCAGAGAAGAATATTCGGAAGGTGTTGCGTGCAAAATATGTGCAAAATAATTCTGATTTAAAAATTATGATTAGAATCATCCTGATTTAAATTTTCATAATAAATGAACTTTTAATTGTGTGACGTTATTATAGTTCAGGGTAAGCTAACGTATAAAATACTAAAAATGAAAAACCAAATAGGACAAGTGTTAAAGTTCGGAAACAATTTATAAAATTAACTCAACCAAATATTCAGCTAAAGAGAATTTACTCTTAACAATATTTTCATTGTTATCCGCGTTTCTCAGAGAGAGAGAGACGGGTGCTAATTGGTAATACATAAAGTTCAAGGGCTTATTTTTTTGAGTGAAAAACTCAAAAAGAGACAACTCGAGTTACAATTTTATTTGAGTTCATGTTCTTTTAAGTTTAAATTCGAGTTTAAACTCGAGTTTAAATTTGAGTTTAGGACTAAAACTCGAGTTCAAGTTTCCTCTTCAACTCGAGTTCAGAAACTCGAACTCAAGTTAATGAACAGTATTTTTTCTATTCTTGAAAATGATATAACTTTTTCGTTTTAATTCTGATTGAGATGATTTTTTTTTCTATGCGTTAACAATGAAAAGACGAATAAAACTAGACCAATATACCCTATTAAAATTTTTCATTAGCATTGAGTTTTTATTAAAATACTATCTAAATACAAATTCAAGTTTTAACTTACTCAAACACAAACTCAAAAAAGATTCTTATCTCAAACCATAACTCAAATGTACACAACAAAATACAAACTCAAATTACAACTTCAATTCAAGTTATAACTCAAACTTAACTCAAAATCTACACTCAAGTTACCTAACTCAAAAACATCAAAAGAACAAGCCCCAAAGTTCACCTCAGCTATGGAACTTCTTGTCACAACATCACCATTTTTTTATGGAATGCACAAAATAAAGACAAAAAAAAATCTAAGAATATTCTAGTAAGCAAACTATTCTAAAAACTGTTCTCCGACTAGAGCAGCAAACACTTGGGAATTAAATTAAAAACAAAAATTAATAGCCATCCTCTTTAACACTAAGCAGGACATTACCACAGCAAATTAGGAATAGGACAGCAAATTTTCATAAAAGAAAAGGTGAAAAAATTATTTACAACACGACAGCTAAGTTTTATCCTTGGCACCACCTGTTGTGAAAGAGAAGCTATATCTTAGGCATAAATAATTTTAGAAATTCAGCAAGTTGGCCAATGGGGTCAGGCTTTGAAGCCAAGGACTGTTCAACAATGACCAATTGTCTTGAGCGGCCCAATCCAGGCCCAATTCTCTGGGGACTTGGATCTCTGGCAACTTCTCCTTGTACCCTTGTGGCAATTGCAAAGATGCGGAAGACCCTTTGACTCCCAATATTGCCCTCTCACCATGTTTGGTTTCTATATTTGCCACTTCTTCAACTTCTTTTTTCATGGGGACCAATTGGTGAATGGTCACTGATGGCACTTGTGGTGGAGTTTTCTCTTCTTGTGGGCTGCAAAATGAGATACAAGTGTCCATTGGAGAGGCAGGGCATGCATTTTGTAAGTTCTTTAGCTCTTCTTCCATTGCCACCCTCTGCTCTAGGACCTTCAAAGAAGTTGCCTTTCTATACACCTTGCACAAGACTATGTCCTGCATGGATTCACAAATTGAAATCACATGAATTCCTATATAAGGTCTTCTTTTCGTAACAAAAATGAAAATGTCACATTTCACTAGGCCTAAAACATTACCATATTATCACACAGCAAGTCTTCGGCACAACTTATAATAAAAACAAAATTGCTAGAGAGCACCAATGAAGTTTAACCACACACAAATAGAAAGTTGGGACACTCTATCCACTCTTTTAGTTTTGTTCAACACCACTGGTGACTCCTAGTATTTTTTTTTTTTCAAAATTTGGTTGATCCCAATTATTTATTGAACAGAAAAAGCCACACGTGTAGCTTTTTTTTTTTTGTTTTTTTGGGGGGTGCATTCACATGTTTCATGTGAGATTTTTGTTACATGTCAATTGTGTAGAGATACGCGTCCCATATTTGAACTTAAGCTATTACCAGGATGCTTCTTCATATATATATATATATATTTCTACACACATGTATATGGACTAAGGGGCAGACTGAGAAGATTTTTCCTTCATGTTCATGTTAATTATTTTTGGAACACTTCAACAACTAGTCCTTTACTTTATAATCACTTTCCTTAATACTACAAAGTACCCTGAAAAAGACGTGACTATACGAGTTTGTAGTACCTTTGACAGTTTGCAGTGATCAGGCAAGCGGTACTCGTTCATGACCCAATCAGTCTTAGTTCCTCTGGGGGCTCTGCCCTTGTAGAACACAAGAGTCTTTCTCAACCCAATCACCCTCTTTAGCTCCGATAAGCTCACGATCTTACGGTCGGAACCCGTCGCCTTCCAAAACCCTCTCTCCGTCGTCCGGTTTGGCCTTCCACCACTGCCATGTTTCCTGTCCCTCGGCACAAAAAAGTACCACTCTCTCTCCCCAATCTTCGCCTTCCCTATATATATACATATATATATATATATAAATGAACAATTATATTTTCTTAGTATATCTCACTAAAAAAAAACTAGTTTATAAGACATGACATAATAAAGTGGTATCAAATAAATATGTAGCATATGTATATTAGGGTGTAAATATATACCAGGCAAGTCGCAAGGGTCGTAGTGGTAGATATTGAGATAACCAATTATGTCAAATCTCATCTTGCCAGAAATCATGTTCCTGAGGTAGAAATCAAGAAGCTCTTCCTCGGTCGGATGGAACCGAAAGCCCGGGAGTTCTAGCACGTCTGATGCCACTTCTTCCATGTTATTGGCTGCCATTGAAAGGATTAATAAGTTTGTTGGCTTTTGATCTTTTTGGCTTTCTCTTTGTTCTTTTAAAGGTTCAAGTAACGAGAACTTGTTTTACATGCAAACATAAGATACGCTTTGTAAGAGAATGAAATACCAAAGTGAAGGATGGGGATGGAAACAGATAGCTGATGTGTGTGTGATTTTATAAGCTGGTTTGGTAGATGAGGGAGGCTAGGACTTGGTCACCAAGACTTTAGGGAGCAGAAAAGTCTGTAGAAAATTGTATTCTTGTGGGAATGGGGCCCACGAAGCTAGGACCCACGCGGCTTGACGTAAAGTCCTCACACCAAGAGAAAAAATAATAATAAATAAATAAATACAAACATAGTGACGTGGACAGGACACGCAATTTTTATCCTTTGCTCTAGCTTGACTTAAAAGTTTTCTTTTTTATTTATGTTTTGGACTTTTACCTGGAAATTATAACAAGTGTTAAGGTATATATATTTCCAAGTAAAATTTTCCAAATCCATTAATTGTTGAAAAAAACAAACAGAAGTATGAATGAATGTGCACCAAATTTTCAATACATATGAGGCGAGTCAGCAAGTCTCCGGTCCGTTCAATGTTCAATCCTTGTTGTATTACTTTGAGTCAGTCATAACTCGCTGGTTCCCAGTTTGTTTCTCAGAACTCAGCGGTAAATCATCAAAAGCTTCTAGTTTGCTGATCTTGATTTCAACCCTTTTAAGTTTGTTGAATTGAGAAATTGTGTATAAAAAAAAAAAAAAAAAAAAAAAAAAAAAAAAGGAAATAATTTTGAGGAGCCGTTATATGAAGATTTAGCAAATTATTTTAAGGAGCTTTTTATGTTAGGATTGTTGTATTTGGGAGTAATATATGTTTTTGACCATTAGATTAAATTTTCATTAAAATGAAAAATAACATAACTAATGATATATATCTGAACTTCAAAACAACCATGTTTGTTAGGTATCTTTTCATTCCACATAGTAAAATCTATTGCCGTATTTGGAATTGTTCTTGTTTTTATTTTTCACGTTTTTTTAAAAAATAAAAATAAAAATGATTTTAAAACGACGTTTGGTACAATTAAAGATAAAAAAATTGAAATAAAAATGATTTTTTAGTTTAGTGTAAAACAGTCATTTTTTATTTTTTATTTTTGTTTTCTTTTCTCTCGAGCATAGAGAAAGAGAGAGACATTAATGGATTTTTTATACTGAAAATAATCTCTTGATAAAATTACTAAACACATTTTTAAAAATAATTTCTGTCTGATATTGAAAACGTTTTCATTTTTATTTTCATACAAAAAATAAAATTATTTTAGAACAAATTCTAAATGCATCCTATAATTTTGATGTGAATTGAGATCAAACACGTATGACGAACAGGCATACACTTTGCCCTATCACAAAAGTTATTACTTACATTTATGATTCAACAACAAGAAAAATTCTACGGTAGGACACATTAGGGTGTGTTTGGTTTCGTTTCTAAAACGTTTTTCACATTTTTCAAGGAGAAAAAATGAAATTGAAAACGAAACGGCGTTTGTTTAGGAAATATTTTGAAAACAAAAACAGTGAGAATAATTTTTGTGAAGGAATTTTAAAAACAGTTGAAAGTTGTTTTTACTTTTTTGTTATCATTTTCTAATACTTATCAACAATATTATAATATACTAATTAATAATTATAATCAAACATGATTTCACTATTTTATTATACTCAAAACAATCTTTTAAAAAACCAACCAAACGCAATTTCAGAATCGTTTTCAGAATGATTCTCAAAACAATCTCATTTTTACTTTTTATTGAAAACAAAATCATTTTAAAACTAATTCCAAACGCACTCATTATTTTGTCATACCTTTAAAACAAGCTATTTCAAGAGGATCCAAGACTCACCCATCAATTATGGATGGATTCTCCTCGTCCCCAAAGATGATGCAATTTTGCCTCTTAGTTGGGTCATCCAAATATGAACTGAGCCTATTGTAACTTGAGGGGTTTTTGATTGTTGGTAGAAGATTGTATGCACCAGGTTCCCTTATTGTCACACTTATGGTCTCAGTGAATTCCTCTTAAAGGGCTAAGTAAGGGCGTGAGGACATCATTGATATCTTTTTTCTCAACAAAACAAAATCATTTTATCAAATTTAAATTGTCTAATCTACGAGTGTCTGGATTAAAAATAATATACGGTTCGATACAATAATTCTCCCACACATAAATCAGACCTTATATGGCTAAAGAACTCGCTCCATAGATGAGGCAAACAAGGTATCCTAAATTTTCCTAACAATAATTCATGCCTTGTTTTCCACCTTTAGCCAACATATTACAGGAGAGAACTTAGTTCTACGGATTAGACCCCCCATGTTACATCATCATGCAAACAGAGCATAGGAGAAAAACGGATTATCACAAAACTCAATCTTAACAAAGAGGTCATCAAAGACCAAAGTGCAGATTATATATAATTTTTTGCCATCATTTTATTTTATTTTATTTTATTTCATTTCATTTCGCCTTAAAATTCAGATCTAGAAAGAAGTAGAAGATACTTAACAATTATTTACATTTTAATGCCCCAAAAAAATATTAATTACAATTTCAGAAAGCAGTTGAAGCATCAAAGCACTTTGTTTTAAACTATTTTCCTCTCACTTTTTACAATGATTATCACCTTCAATTTGCATAAATTAACAACCTAAAGTTGCTTTAATGCCAAAACGAGTTTCCTATGAAGCAAGCATCTTTAGTTGTCTAATATTTTAATGTTTAAAGGAAGCTTAATTATAAGGTAAGTTGACTTGTAGGGTCAACATGACGGGGATATACTGACGTTATTGGAAATTTCTTTATATTGGAAAAAGAGGAGATTTATCAATCAATTAACGCATTTAAATGAGTATAGATTTATTTGAAATGGTGGGGGTCGTCTCAAAAGTCTATATACAGAGAGTGGCCACAAAACTTAGAAGAGAAAAACAGAGCTTTCAATTAGTTGTCAATTCAAAGCAATAACGCGTTTTTCACATTATCTATTTCATACCCATTTTTCCTTTTTTTTCTTTTTTGTCTAAAAAAGGATTATGAAAGCAAATAAAAATAAAACTAAAAATATTTGTTATGCGATTTGATAGGAAATTTGACTTGGAAGTCTTTAGCCAAGACCAAAAAAAGTCCTTCCTTAAGTAAACGCTGAGCCTTGTATTTTCTTCTGGCAGTGCTCACTTTCTGGCCTCGGTTTCACTTATACCTTTTGTTGTTTGTTTTAATGTTACTTCTAGGCTTTCAAATTAAAGAAGTAGAACAGTTTTCTCCGATTCAACAGATCCATAATTAAAGGCCAGTCCATCAGTATCTTTGATTTTCCTGTGCTACTTCCTCGAATTTTCTTTCAGTCATTTAAAACTTATAAGCGCACTTTCACAGTTGCTTCTTAATGGCTGACAACGCACCCCACATGGTCTAGCATCGTCCAATCCCGTTACTCTGATTAAGAAACGACAACAAAAACCAAATGATCAAATTAGAATGCAGAACACTATCCTATATAATTTTGGAAGAGAGTTAATGGGGTTAGTGTTGAAGAATTCTGTGTTAGGATTTGAAAAAAAAAAAAAAAATAGTGTACCGTTATTGATTCACATCAAATTTATATTTAATTACGAAAGGAATGACAATATTACAGATTTTAAAGGAGTGTAAGTTATTTTTAAAGAGAAAATAGAATTATAGGTTGTTTGATATGAGGGAAAAATGAAGGGAAAAAAATGGAGAATAAAAGAATTTATCTATCCCATCATTTTTTATCCTTACAAAAGTGTAATTATTTTTTTTTTTTTTTAAAAGAGTGGAATGAATTTTTTAATGAAAAACTATTATCTCATACCGAAATAATTAAATTATATTTTTGTCTTTATTTTTAAACTAAAATAATATCAAATAATTAACAAATAGTAATTTAATTCAACACTCATTTTCATCCCCTTTTTCCTTCTCCCTTGCCAAATGGAGCATTTGTGAAATCTGACATTTAAAACTATAACCCTGTTTGTTTCCATTTTGGTTTCCATTTTTCACGGTTTTTGAGAATGAAAAATAAAAACGCATTTGGTGTAAAATTTTCTAAAAAATAAAAACAAAAACGTTTTTGTCCTTTTCTGAAAATCTGAAAACGATTTATTCTTGTTTTCATTTTCTCCTCCGTTTTCCTTTTCTCTCTTCAGCCCAGACTAGAGACCCCCATTGTGTGAACCTACGCTATTTTTCAGTTTTTTAAAATTGAAAACAATCTCAGAATAAAACTACCAAATGTATTTTCAGAAATGATTCCAAAATGAAAATGAAAACGTTTTCGTTTTCATACAGAAAATAAAATTATTTTGGAACGAATTCCAAACGCACCCATATTTTACGGATACATTTTTTTGCTCTTTCTAGCGTCCCACGGTCTATTTTGGATATATTATATTGGAAAGGCACTTTACTTAAAAGGATGAAAAAGGAACGTGGCCAACTATTATGGAAGTTGTTAAGCGTTGTTGGCTTCGCAAATTTAAGTTTTTAATTTAAGTAAAGATGTGATAAATTTTTAAAATTTTTAACTGTAGTAAAAAAATGTTAGATATAACATTTTCTAAAAGTTTTTAATTGTAAAAACTTAAAATTAAAATCTTAAATCGGTGAAATGAAAGAGGTCTTAAGCTTTGAGCTTGCAATTAACCGGTTGGCGTGGGTCACTCTAACCTAGCTTGCAAAACCCCGAATTGGGTCACTCAATAGAAGTTCATCTCTAACCTCACCAAGAGAACTCTAGCCTAGCTTGCAAAATATTCTCACAAGTTCTAGAGAGAAAATATGAGAACAATAGCAAGACGACAGAAAATTGAATATTAAAAGCTTTTAAAAACCTTAGGCCAACCCCTCTATTTATAGTGTTCAGAGGTTGCCTTTCAAATAAAGAAACAAACAATAAAAATAGAAAATTACAAAAGAAAATGATACAAAATAAAATTACACATAAATTAGGATAAATCATATAAATAATTTGAGGAAGAAATCTGGTATTTGCTCTGATTTTTAGAGAAGAAATTCAGATTCAGCACACAAGGGACACGTGTCGAAGCTTGGTCGGAGGAAAGGAAT